TTCCAAAAGAATTACATGTTACATTTTATCAAAGTGATGCATACACATAGTCTGAAAGAAAAAAAAAGAAAATTAACCATCCACTATTCAAAGCCACCTAGATGTGTTTCCTAATAGCATCTTTCATCTTTTATTCTTTAGCTGTTTCTTTTGGTAGTTATTTTTATATCACTGACGAATATGCTGCTGCTTTCTTGACTTACACTTTCTAGGTATTATATATGTACTTCCTGTTCTGATAGAGGTTTATTCGTTCTTATACTACTCTCTAACCCCATCTGCTCAATATATTTATATCACTATTTTGATACATCAGTAAACAATGTTGTTTGTTGTAGAGGTAAGCAGTGTGCTGTGATTACATTTTCTTTAATGTAATAACTTTTTTCAGAATTTCCAGTTGTCTTTCTTCTTGCAAAATCTTTAAAATAATCTTTCAACTCCAGTCCCCAAAACACCTATTACTCTTGAGGAGATCTCTCTCCCAAATTCATGCATTCTCTTGCTTTTGCCTAGGCTGGTTGGCTGGTTGGTTGCTCTCAAGATCTGCCATATGGCTGTTGCTCTCATATTTCCCTTGACTATCCTCCTGGATTTGGATACACTGTTTATTGAATCTCATGGCTTCCTGTTTGTGGGTTAGTGCCTCCTTTTCCTTGAGTGCATGCTCAAATAATTTACTAAGAAACTGTATATTGAGGGTAAATTTTCTGATTCCTTGCATGTCTGCAAATGTCTTTATTTTAACCTCACGTGTGATAATACTTTGGATATGGAATTTGAAGTTGAACATAATTATTCCTCAAGGTTTTTAGGTCATTGTTCTATTTCCTTCTGTCACCTAGTACTACAGTTGTTGTGTTGCTGCTCCGATTCTTTTCCTTTTTAGATGACTTTTCCCTACTGCCAGAAACTTTGTTTTATTTCTGGTACTCTAGGTTTTTTTTTTAAGCTCTCACCGGAGGATTTATTTTTATTGACTTTAGAGAGAGAGGAACGGAGAGGGAGAAGGAGAAACATCAATGTTAGAAACATCAGTTGGTTGCCTCCCGCATGCACCCTGACTGGTGAGCAGACCCACAACCTGGATATGTGCCCTGACCAGGAATCAAACCCACAACCTTTCAGTGTATGGGACAGGGCTCCAACCAACTGAGCCATACCGGCCAGGATTTATTCCTGGTATTCTAAAATTTTAGTGGTTTTGTTGTTGTTGTTGTTGCATTGTTTTGTTAATTATACTGGATACTGAGTGAACTGGGCCCTTACTGTGTGGAGATTAGAAACTCTAACTCTGGGAAATTTCTTTGTGCTATTTCTTCTTTAATTTTTTTGTTGTTTGTTTTCTGTTTTTGGAACTCGTTAGTAGGATTTTGGATCCTGCTGGATTGATAATATTTGTCTCTTTTTTTCTCTCATTTTGTTGAATTTTCTG